GCCAACCGTAAAAGATAAAAGTTAATTCAATCTAGCATGCCGTACAATTAAACCCGAGACGAGATAACCTCGCCTCGGAATACCCCCACTGCGGTGTTACAGGGGAATAGAGAGAAAAACAACCGGATGCGCGCACCCGCCATTGCCCTATTTTAAGTGACCAATGAACGGGCCCGGAATAGTCATGCGGGGATTTGTATGTCACATACATTTGCCACGAGAGTGAAGTGAAAATGGCCCGTCTCCGTGCGAAGCCGCTTTGGATAGGGGGGTAGTCATGCATTTATGATCAGGTCTAAACAACTACTTGACACAGAACGTTCAAATTTGAGCACACTATAGAGAATAGATAGATCTATTACCATCTCGGCGTTGAAATTCAAACTCCTTATAGTTTTCGGTGTACACGATACGAAAGTGTTCCCCACACCAAAAGTATAGGTTAATTTATGTGTACGAACTTCAACGTCCACATATCATTAGTTTGCCCTATTTTCTGATTGGTTGCCGAGTTTCATTCGGATTGGTTCGGAAATAGAGCAAAGTTAGTCACCTACGCTTCGGCCGGGTCCGCAAAATCGCCCGTAAACAGGGACCATATTTTCGCCACGCGGGAAAGCCCGATTGGCATTGCTAAATAAGAACACTTGATAGCTTCAAAAGACATCTTTAAACATTTTCTGTTCCTACAGGCCTATCCTTCATAAGCTTTTAACCTTATCTTTCATTATATTTGTTCTGTTCCTATGTCTGGATGAAAATAGTCTCTGTGTGTGTGTGTGTGTGTGTGTGTGTGTGTGTGTGTGTGTGTGTGTGTGTGTGTGTGTGTGTGTGTGTGTGTGTGTGTGTGTGTGTGTGGGTGAGTGCATTAATGTTATATATATTGCATGAGAAGAAAGGAAGTAGATCTAGTAAGAAAGGTTTTTGAAAAATGGGTATTCCAATGTAAAGCGCATTGAGCTACTTTTTTTGGAAATGCGCTATATAAATGTTATATATTATTATTATTATTATTATTATATATAGTCTCTGGTGACACTGAGACTACATGCCCGGTAGCCGGTTACCGAGTACGTAGATATTGAGGCTACATGCCCGATTACTGTGTACATGACACTGAGATTACGTACCCGGTTGCCGGTTACCGTGTACGTAGACACTGAGGCAAGGTGCCCGGTTACCGAGTACGTAGACACTCCGAAATGAAAATATTGATAAATGAGATGCCAAGGTTCTTGTTAGCAAATTCCTCTCTGATTATGCTAGTTTTGATGATGTTACGTGGTAAGGTAGGCAATGAAGAATAATCTCCAATCTCGGAACAGGGAGATGTTATGATTTTTTAAAACTTCGTACAAACTGATACAATAAAACAGCAGCACGATTACGTTAAATCAAGAGAGTACCTGTAACTTTGTTTACAGTTTCCGCATTGTTTTTCCAGTTTCGGGTACATTTGCCGTTTGCATATTTGACATTCACAGGACATTACCAAAAAAGCTAATCAAATGGAAATATTACTACGTATCAAATATTGAGTGAAAGAGATAACAAATTGTAGATTAAAATAACAGGGGGAAAATTAAAAAATTCAAACATGAAATCATCTCAATTTTTTCTTTAGTTAATGTTATTGTTCAGTTACGTGAATGAAAAGATAACAACACAAGAAGGTAAAGCCAAGTCGCCATGGAAAACAATGTTATTAAAATTAAAACAGCGAAAGAAAGCTACCACCACTCACTTGGTAAATGGAGTGTTAAGGGAAGTAACTCTAAAACAGCTTGAAAAATAATAGACGTAGTTTCGTTTTCAACTGCCAGTAGAGTCTAGGTTAACTTTACTTCGAAGTGCGAATATCGGCATTTTATGTAAGTCCTAAAAGTAGCCTAACTATTTTGTGTGTTCATCGCTTCGATTATTCTCATTTTATTTATAGTAACTCTTTTAAAAGTGTTATAAGTATTATAAAGTATAAGACTCTCTGCTATTGAGTAGAGGGTCTAATTAATTTGATTCCAGTCAATCAATGTCAGTCCATTCATTCTTCTAGATCCAGTCTATCCTCCTACTAATTAGATTTTTAGATCTAGATTACTAGCCTCTCTACTAGATCTAGATTTAGAGTCTAGATCTAGATCTAGATAGATATCTAGTTCTACTTGACTTACAAACTTGTTTTGTCGGTGTGGAGCTAACTCAATCCTTTCATTGACTGTGTGCTCTACCTAGTCCACAGAGAGTACACAGCTTTGAGTATGAGTCCTTAAACAAGTATAAATAACTTCATTTGATCTACCCATGGAGCATATAGATCTATGTGTGTCAAAGGCAAAGACACAAGAGAAAAAAAGACCCCCCCCCCCCCC